TGAGCGCACATATGCAATTTTGCTGCACCAATATGACCATGAGATTCTTCACTCATTACCCTATGCTAAAACCGAGACAACCAAAATCAATGGGAAGGTACCAATTAACCTAACCTTCATCCGGTTGAGAGAGGCTAGAGGGTTAATCATTAATAATAGCAATTATATTACACCATTTTACTATGTTTATAATACGGATAAAGTCCTCTACAGTAATATTCTATTTCAAATTAACTAGCTCATATCTACTAATAAAGACGGGCCTCCTTTAAGTATACGTGATGTTTGATAAAATTAAAAATTAAGTATTAATAATTTTAAGAATTGAATTTTAAGTGCTGAAGTATGTAAGTTGTAATTAGTAAATAATCCATTTTAAGTGTTACTTTCGTTTTACTACGTAAATGATACACTAGGGAAGGCAACGGGGCGAAGTTGGGGCGGGTTTGGTTAAACACTATTCGCCCGGTTAAAAAATATATCATACCAATTCCGCCCTTATTCCAGAACGGGTTTATAATTGTTATACCATCTCCACCTCTACTCCAGTAGACAAAGTACCGACTCCGCAGTTTAATTGCGGGGAGCAATGGGGTCGGGTCGAGTTATGCCACTATTATTACATAATAAAAAAAAACTAACCCAATGCGCTCAAATTAGGCTGATAAATAAGCTGATCAAACTTTTAAATTATTAAGTAGTAAATATTAAAATATTAATAAAAACTTCCAACAAAATAGCAATAGTCTTAAAAAAATAAAATATATATTTTATATATAATTTTTTTTTTAAAGGTATATATATATAATCGGGGCGGGATAGGTTCATCACTAAATTCGTCCCTATCCCAAAACCGATTCGAATTTTAAATTATTTTACTATACCTATCCCAAATTCATTTAGGGTCAGGGATGGGGTGAAACCCACTAAGTCCGAGGAATTTGTCATTTCTAAAACACACTTAAAGCATGCAATTCATTCATTAATAAGTACCAACAATCAAACAACACCTAAGAGTCAAATCTCATTTTTTGATTTGACTCCTTATCCAGGGCCTCCAGTTCATTCTACTGATTGGTCTTCTATTTGGCGGTGCCGTTCGTGTTGGGAAACGTGCAAGTTTTTAAAAACTTTTGAGGGATTTGCAATCATAGATCTTGATTCATTACATAGAGACAAATTTTATGCAAAAACAAATAAAAGATGATGTATCATTCAATAAATAGATTGAATACTTACATCAAAAGTCTGAGTAAACCTTTTAATCTTTCCTCTAAAGTGAATGTTCTCACTTATTGTAGATCCTAGTAAGATCTTTTCTCCTTCTTCTTGATTATGATCTTTCCTTTATGAATCACCAATATGCCTTGATGAATGACATTGGAATTAAGGCTTGTGGTAGTCTCCTTTAGAAGAGAAAACAAACCCTAAAATCTAGAGAGAGAAAATGTATTCCTTATTCTTGTTCTAAAAGTCACACCTAAAAATATACACGAACCCATGTATATATAGGCAAAAATAAAAATAAGAAAAAGGAAACAATAAATCATTCTCCATCTATAAATCAAATTTCTCAATTCTAATAGGACTCCAATATCAACTTGGGCTATTGGTGAAAATCATTTGGGCTTACTATTTTCTTGGCTCCTATAAATTAATAATTGGTTCGGTTTATTAAACCATGATCCAATTCAATTAATTCATAAATTAATTTATACTCCACTAAAAGAAATTACTCTAATTAAATAGTAAATAACCTCTAAGTCAATGTTGCACTTTGATCTCTATGCATAATTATTTATTGGATAATTAAAACCATCAATCCGATAACATAATTAATATAATTATTTTGTTACCTTTGATTATTTCCGGCTTGATCACAATAAAATATTTATTTGACAAAAATAATAATTTACTAAATAAATATATATAGAAAACATTTGTCTAAAACATACGAAGGCCTTCGAATTTAATTTGTGATCAATCATAATCAAAATAAAATAAATACAAATAGCATTGATGCAAATATTGAGAATATAGACCTTTAATTATTAATTACATAACTATCCAAAGTGTCGATCTAAGGATCCCGAGGTATCCACCGAACAAATCAAAGTAATTATTAATTAATAAAAGAGTCTATGCTTCTCTCATGTTTGAGAGTCAAAAGCCATGACTGTGATAGAGAACAATTGCATACGACAGCTCTCGCAATATATTTCAATCTATCGTGGACTCGGTTCAAGTCTTAACAAATTAAATGTCCATCCATAATTACCAACTTTGAACCATTTATGATTACTAGTTTATAACTTAGTATTAATTGTCATTATATATATATATATATATATATATATATATATATAAATTTATCTTATAATCAAGTGGATACAATCAATTCCATAATGAATAGAAAAATAATACATTCCATTCTTGTATAATGCCTTAATAATAATATTCAGATAAAGAACTATGACTTTTACAATCCAAAATAAGAATTTGCTATGCTAGGGCACACATATCCCAATAGTTCGCTATCTAAGGTGCAACATTTTCTTTGGAGATGTTATCTTCATGTTTTGCCTGTTCGTGTGGCTTTGTTGTCTTGTGGGTATACTGGCTCGTCTATTTGTCCTCGTTACAATTTGTAGGAGGAAACTGTTGTGCATCTTCTTCTTTTTTTGCCCTCATTCTCTAAAGGTGTGGAAACTTTCTCCGCTGCGTATTGATTTCTCAGGTCTTTCTTTTTCTTCCTTCAGGGTTGGTTGGAGTTTTCTTATGCATCGGGCTATGATTTCTTCGGACTTTGCGGATGTTCTTAGTTTGATTTCTTTTTGTGCTTGGGGTATTTGGAAGGCAAGGAATCTGTTGATTTTTGATGGGATTTTATGGGAGCCGGAGCTTGTGGTTCAAAAAGTAGTTGTTACTTTTTGGGAATTCAAAGAAGCTCGGTCTCTCAACTCATCCTTACTTCCAGGGCCAGCCAGTCCTTCAGTGGTGTTTTGGTGTTCTCCCCCATCTGGAACTATCAAATGTAATTTTGATACTTCCTTTTGTTGACAATCGTTATTAGGGGGCGGCGGAGTTGTTTTCCGAGATTATAGAGGTGCAGTACTTCAAACCGTTGTTTTTTGTCCATTTTCCGCTTCTTCGTTGTAGGCGGAAGTTGTGGTTTGTTAGCATGCTGTCCTTTGTGCTTTTGTTTTAGGATTTTCTTATTTATGGTTTGAATCGGATGCTACAGTTGTTGTAGATGGGGTGTTGAATGGCGAATCTTATCTGGCGGAAATTGAGTCTATTTGTTTTGATATTGCCCGAGATCTTCGAAGATTTTCTTTTGCTACCTTGTCTCATGTTCGGCGCCAAGGTAATTGGGTGGCTCATGCTTTAGCTGCTCTTTCACGTCCTGGACTTGGATCGGATCAATTTCTGCATGTTCTTCCTCCTTCCATTATGCCTTTGGCTATGGCGGATGTGGGGTGTTAGTTGTGTTGTGTGGTTTGGGTTTTTTTGTCTTGATGTCTTTGCCAGGAAGAAGAAGAAGAAGAAAAAAAATAAATAAATAGATATGCTCTTTCTATTGTTTAAGTTACATTTAGATGAAAAAAATTTCACACAATCTCAATCCTCAGCCAAATACACTGTGGTGTGGCAAACATAACTTTAAACCAAGCTGTCCTCTAGACTAACAAATAACACTGACCTCTTTTATCTTTTTTGTTGGAGTAACAATTACCTCTCATGTTATTTGTTGAGGACTTATTTGTAATTTATTTAAAACCCAATTTTGCCATTAAAAAATAAAAAAAGCATTTTTGTTCATATATTGTAACGATAATAATAATAATAATAAAAGTACAGTAAGTATAATTGTCATTTACACATTCAGATTATTGTCAACACTAACACAACAATGTTATTTTTTAAATCATATTAAAGGTCCTGTAATTTAAGTATTCATGGGGAGAGGTTAGTGTAATTTATCCTATAAATAATAATAATATTATTTTGTAGAATTAAATGACCATAAATATTCAGTAAAGTTAAAATATATAATTAAAATTTACAAGCTAAATTTGAAGTTTGAGAGATTTAAACTTTACAAACAGACTGTTTACAATTAAAGATTTAAACTAGTTAAAAAAAACTTAAGACGGTTTTATAGGAAATTGATTAAACTTTTAGGGAATATTTTATTTTATTTTATTAAAACAAGTAAGACTTATTTCCAATCATCCAATGCATTGAACTATCACCGGAAAACTATTTGGAAATAACATTCGGCATCTTATTTGAGGATAAATTTAACATTCATTATATGAGTTAATAAAAGTGGAGGATCATAATTAGGGATGACAAAAATTCTCACCCCGGCGGGCCTTGCTCGTTCCTTTTGAAATGGTTTTGGGGATCCGATTATGTAAATAGGAATGTGAATGGGAGCTGCTTTGAAAAATTCAGTGGGTTTTGGAGCGGTTTCAGTGACGGTTGCCCCACTCCGAATATACTATAAATTTATTAAATTACCTTACATCTTATAATATATTGCTAAAATATGTTAAGTATACGTACACACACGAAGAAATCTTAACCCTCGTCTCGTTTCATGTCTTAAGTTGTGAAAAAAAAGAGCCACGAGTAGAGATGACAAAAATCCTCACCCCGGCGGGTCCACCGCATTTGGGGCAATTTTGAGAACCTATTATGTAAATGAAAACGAGGAGGATGCAGCTGGTTTTAAAAACTTGACAAATTTTGAAGTGATTATAGAGGTGAAAAAATTAAACTATAATAGAGATGGGGATCTCGTCCCAAACCGCCCATTGTCATGCCTAATCACAATTCAACTTAATCCCACAAAGTCTTTTTTTAACTAATAATTTAATAAAAGTTATATTGTTTCATTACATAATGCATATTAGGGTCTTTTTATTATTGGAGGAAAAAAATGGGGATTATTTAAAAATATTCCAAAATAAAGGGATTTTATTTTTATTTTAAATAAGAGTAGAATTACTGAAGTTTAGTACTAGTGGAGCGGAGAGGAGAGGAGAGCGGTGGAGAAGTAGAGCAATGGGCAACGCTCAGTCATCCACCGATCCTCACTTCGCTTCCGCAAGCAGGTTTCTCACTAATCTCTCTCTCTCTCTCTCTCTATATATATATTGGATTAATTAATACTATTACTTATCACTGTAGAGCTTTCACTCAGAAGGAACTCAAAGGTCTTAAATCGTTGTTCTTGTCTCTTGCTGCTCAATCGCAGAGCGACGGTCAATACATCTCTTCCTCCGTTTTCAAGGTAAGTATATTCACCATCACAACATTCAAAATCTATTCAATTTTGATTTCAATTCTGCAATGGTAATCTCACCTGTTGTTACCCTCCTCCTTCAAATCTCTCTCTATATGTATAATTCAGACATATTTTGGAATTCATGGCCCTCTTGGTGATCGGATGTTTGATTTAGTTACACAGAAGCGTAATGATCAGAAGCTCACCTTTGAGGACCTCGTAATTGTTAAAGTAAGTTTTATTTTCGTTTCAGTTTTTCTTTTTACAGTTTCAGTGTCTGTTAAAACCATCTAGTAGCTTGTAACAATGTCTGATCATAATTTTTGATCTTATGCTTGCTTGGATTACTCTTCAAGTATCTCTTACCTTCTGTTTGTATTCTTGCATATTTTAGTAGATAAGAGAAATGAAATGTTTGTTTTTATTCTTAAATAAAGGAAAGGTCATCTAAATTTTTAATCAAAAATGGATTTTTATTTCCTCTGGTTCCAAATTATGAATAATCAAACACTTAAAATGTAGTTGCTATATGCATATATATATATATGTAATATTAAAGTATCTTAGCTTCCAAATGGTGCATTTAGCATTTCTGAAACCATGATAGAGCGATCCTGTTGTTGGTTTCAGTTATAATTGAGGATTTTTCTCCACTGATTTCTCTAGTAACGGTAAATAGGAAACAATATCAATACTGGAGGATTTACCTCCACTGATTCCTCTAGTAACAGTAAATCTTCAATACTCCCCCTCAAGTTGGAGCATGAATGGCACAAATGCCCAACTTGCCATTGAGATGACGAGTAGCAGCAAGTGCGAATGATTAATAGTTATAACAAGACGACCTCAATAAAAATGGATCCTGAGATCCGAGACGAGTAGCAATACCCTCGATTGAAGAAGAGTTGTAAGAAGAAGAGCTCAATAAAAATGGATCCTGAGATCTGAGACGAGTAGCAGTAACCTTGATGTAAGAAGATGACCTCAACAAAAATGGATTCAAAGACGAGAACCAAAAATGGCTATGATGATAAGAGACAAATAAACACAAAACTTTGAGTGAATAAAACTTTAAATCTAAATGCTTTGTTGAGTGGAAATTCCTTTTCTCCTTGCCATTTTCCAATACTGCAATAATGTAATATTATAAGTTGTATCCATGATGTCTGTCCTCATATCATCAAATCAAGTTATATCATTTTCTTTCTTTCTTTCTTCCCCCAATTTTGGGTCTTCCTCTTCTCCATTTAGCACGTTCTTCTTATACTTTGATTGAAGTTACTTCTCCTTAATAGTTCATACACAGGTCCAAGTTGCGTATGATTGGACATTTGAAATGTAATAAATGGTTAGATAAATCAAATTGCATAATGTGATAGTATTATGTAAAATTTGCGTCTTTTTCTAAAATGGCAATAAAATGGGTAAATGGGAACTTGACGGTGTATTTTGCTGGAGCTAAAGTAGGGAAATCCTACTTCTTTGTTTGGTGCTTTTCATGGAAGTGTTTGCTGCCTTAATGAAGAGGAAGGTGCCTATACATTTCTTGGAAGGTACTCCCCTCAGTGAAAAGATCACATTACATTCTTGAGCTTTGTGTTAGGATTTAAACATTTAACTCTTTGCGTACACCATTGGAAATTGCTTTAGAACTTAAACGAGCAATCATGCCCTTCTAGATTTGAGGAAAAGGGTTTTATGTCTAACTGAAAAGGTCCTAATTGTAGCCAGTCACAATCGAGAACGCAACGAACAGGACCTCGAGATATGACCTAGAAAAGGGAAAAGAGGGGGGGGGGGGGGGGGGGGGGGGGGGGGGAGGGGTGGGGGGTTTGAATAAGTCGGTTCCCAATTATGGCTTAAATAAAAATTCACACAATACCTTATTCAATTATGTGCGGAATATAATATATCAACTTGATATATTAATTCTGATAAGTGATAACAATTAGTGGATTTTAATTACCTTGTATTCAATAGTCTATTGTATTTGTTTGACCCAAAATAAATAAAATCAGATTTAAATAAACTGCATCTTTAATTAAATAAACAAATTAAATCTGATTAAACAAACTCAATCCCTACTTGATTTTACCAACCTTGAGTCGTTAACAATTTATGATTAATTGCTAGGACACTTGAAACACATATGTAGCTTGATTTAAACATGATATTTATCTAAGAATTCATCAATCACACATAACATAATAAGCAATTAATATGTGCAGTCAAGTAAATAGATAAAGAGACTTGTACACCAGATATACGAGGAAAAACCTACCCCTGGTAGATAAAAAAAGGCCGAGAAATTCACTATGAAGAAAGAGAGTACAACCACGATGAACACCAGTTTACCTCCAAATTCAGCAAGACAACAAATCAACAGCCGTTTATCACAATTGATTTACTCCACGGTTAGTTTCAACCCAATTTCTCTACTAGACGCACTCCAGAAGATCTCTTCAATTATCCTCTAGCCGATCCATCTAACAGCTACATTTAATCACATTGATCCACATCAATCCCATCATGCACTGCTTCTTCACCTTGGAATTATTCTGACAACCAACCTGTCCACCACTTCTTGAATTTGGTTTGGTTTCATTCTAGCACTTCGTGGCCATGTGTTGATGTTGAATTTTTAGCTTGTATTGTAAACCATATCTAATGCAATGTGATATGTATGAACGATGCACAAAATAAAATAGCACAACATATAAAATATCAAGTGTGGTACCCTTAACTCTCACAAGATAACTCTCACACAAATTCTCTTTTGGATACACACAAGTAGAACTCTCACACAGAACACTTGTGGATAAACAACTTAACAAAGAAGGCTTTATGCGGTAGAATAAGCACTCTAGGGCTGTATATGTAGATATACGTTCAAAGTACACACTCTGGATTTTCAGACTTTGTATATATATATAGAGAGAGAACATTACTTGCTCCCCACTTTATGATCTTGATCTCCAAGTTCAGAACTTGTTTTCCAAGTAAATAAAATAATATGAAAAGACTATTCTAGAAGACATTAGGTCCGTGTCTTTTCTGTAGCAAAACATTTTATACTTCACCTATAAAAACATTGTAAAAAGATCAAGCAAACTCATTTAAGAAATTAAGTTTCGAGTTAAAATGTTTCCGTCGATCTAATTGTGTATGGTGTCGATTGATCGAGGCTTCACAGGTTCAATCAAGCTTTACAGTCAAGCCTGTCGATTGAAGTTACATAGGTGTCGATCGATGGATGCAGTGTAATGCTCGATCAATGAGAATGCAACATTCTGGTTTTGACCTTTTTGACACAAAATCGATTCCAAGTATTAAAGACATATTTGATATTTCTAAACATCAGAATACTCCTAGAAGGTTCTAGAAAAATGTTTTCTTGATGCATACTCATATTATGTGTCTAAGGCAACTTCAAACATAACAAAAATAGCTCTGACGCATTTTATGGAAAACTTTTTCTTAATGCTCAAGATATGCTTAAATATTAGCAACTTAGCAAAAACTAATCCTAAGCACAAATTCACCTTCTATATAAATTTAGGAAAAATATATATATATACATGGGGGTGGTACAATGTACTTGGGTAGTAATCTAAAGGTTAAAAAAAATTAGGGGGGCACTTTCAGTAATTTTCAAGGAGTTCTTTGTAATTTTTAAGAAATATACATATAAAATACAAAAAACAAAAATTTCAGGGGGGCCACGTGCCCCCTTTTCCTAAACTCCCTTCGTTCATGATCTTAATATATTATATATATATTTTCATGAAAACTCATTTTTTCCAAGCTTATATAAATTAAATAAATAAATATATCATAGATTTTACCAACAATTAGCATATGAACATGAATAACGTGTATGCATGTACTTAGATGGTGATAGATGACATCAAGTGTGATTCTTACCTTTTAAGCCCAGACTTTACATCTTTGCCCTTTGAAGTTGATATTTGGACTGTTTTGCCCTTTATACAAGATCTGGACGTTTTTGCCCTTTTGATGTAGAATTCTTCAAGAGCTTTATCTTCACACTTAATTCACCTAACTAGTATATTTATATTTCACTCACTAAACATATAATCATTAAATTACATTAAGTGAGTTTTGTACTACGAAATTTGCCAATCACATTAATAGAATTACAAAAATCCTAACAAGATCCTTGTTTAGTGATCCTATACTTTGGTTTGCCGTGTTGAATTTTAGCATGAAGGTATTTATTAATTTTTTTTTAATTATTGTCTGGGTTATTAAATCATAAAAAATTAATGATAAAATTGTTATCGTTGATATTAACAATCACACTACTTTGGTTTTTCACTTTCTTGTGAGCCGTATTCAAATTAGGATGCTTCATTGCCGTTTGATTTTAGTTTTCTATATTTCGTCATTGTGGAGAGACATGAATCATGTGGGTTTTTTTTTTTTCTTTTTTTCGGTCTCTTTCCTAGTTGGTACTCACAAAAATTTCAGGGGGGCCATGTGCCCCCTTTTCCTAAACTCCCTTCGTTCATGATCTTAATATATATATATATATATATATTTTCATGAAAACTCATTTTTTCCAAAGTTATATAAATTAAATAAATAAATGTATCATAGGTTTTATCACGCAACAATTAGCATATGAACATGAATAATGTGTATGCATGTACTTAGATGGTGATAGATGAAATCAAGTGTGATTCTTACCTTTTAAGCCCAGACTTTAAAGCCCAGACTTTACATTTTTGCCCTTTGAAGTTGATCTTTAGACTGTTTTGCCCTTTTGATGTAGAATTCTTCAAGAAGCTTTATCTTCACACTTAATTCACCTAACTAATATATTTATATTTCACTCACAAAACATAAAATCATTAAATTACATTAAGTGAGTTTTGTACTACGAAATTTGCCAATCACATTAATAGAATTACAAAAATCCTAACAAGATCCTTGTTTAGTGATCCTATACCTTGGTTTGTCGTGTTGAATTTTAGCATGAAGGTATTTTTTAATTTTTTTTAATTATTGTCTAGGTTATTAAATCATAAAAAATTAATGATAAAATTGTTACCGGTGATATTAGCAATCACACTACTTTGGTTTTTCACTTTCTTGTGAGCCATATTCAAATTAGGATGCTTCATAGCTGTTTCATTTTAGTATTCTATCTTTCGTCATTGTGGACATACATGAATCATGTGGTTTTTTTTTTTTTTTGTTTCTTTCCTAGTTGGTACTCCCCTCCCCCCAAAAGGAATTGTTTGCACATAGTAGGAATCGATCCTGAGACCTGATGCTTCATGAGGCAGTAGGCCCAAGTTTTTTCCAACTAGGCCAATGGGTTTGCGAGTCTAGCTGACATTTGTCATGTAACTTTAACAAGTTGTGGGCCAATTATAACTCAGTGGATCCATCCTTTTCAACAATACCATTTTTCTGCACTACTTTCAAATGTGAAAGAACACTAAAGCATTAACAACTATTATCAAGGCAACAAATGACTATAATCTGTTGAACTGTAAAAACATTTGACGCAGCTGTCTAAAGAAGCCCTTAACTATCCAAAGATACTTTACCTCTTTTTCACTTCCCTCTCTATCTCTCTCTCTCTCTCTCTCTCACACACACACACACACACACACACACACGAACTAACCATATGCCTAACAACCTGATTGCCATATACAAACTAGTACTATGCCCATATTGCCATATCCGATGGATAAAAAAGATAAAAATAAAGTAAAAAAGAAAAGATAGTCCTATTCAAACTTCACCTTTTTACATGTTCATTGATAATGCTTTTGAACCTTATAAGTTAAAAGCGAAGCACGAATAGGTGAAGGTAAAAAGGACAAAAAGAAGGGGGAGGTAACATAATTCATACTCTTAGTAATAGTATAATTTCAAGCTTTCAAAAGAGGCTGCCTACTCCGGCACTTCTTAACTTTTCTTGGTGGTGGCGGCGGCGGCGGCGGCAGAGGTGGAGGTGGAGGCGGCATTGTCATGGAGGACGTCAAGCAAAACGGTGCTCTTGCATTTTGGGCATCTTGGGTTCTCCTCGACATGCATGACATACATGAGGCAGCGAGGGCAGCCAACCAGCATCATGGAGGTTGCGTCAGGGCTGTTGGAGAAACGGAGGGTCTTGTTTTGGTTGAGCTCCGATGACATGCATGAACTTGGGGGTGATGTTGGTGACACCGATGGCGATTGACTCAGCCATTGGACTCGCGGATTTGCCCTTGGTGGCGATAAATTCAGCTTCAAGTGTTTTGGATCGTTCCCGTTTTGGCGACTCATTGCTGTGTCTTCCGAGCACCTCTTTTTCACACTTTTTGTATAAAATATCTTAGCAGTCTGAAAAAACATCAAAAAAGTTAAAGAGCAAATTAAGTAATGAAACATTATAAAAGGACAATGAAATTGAACCATATATATGAGCTCCATCATATAAAGAAACATAGATATTTAAGGAAAATGATATGACATATATATGGATCATATACTATATATATATTTGTACCTTCCGTTTGAGGATCGTTTTGCAACCCAAGGGGAGAGGGCAAAGGGCTTCTAATTCTATATGTGATGAGGGTTTGCTAGTATGAAAGAGATCAAGAGTGACCGGGATGGCTCGACAGAGATTGGCTAGGCTCGGACCGGTGAGCACATCATGGTCATGAGACGCATGACCACCACTAACACGGTCTTGTTGAAGTGGGTGTGGCTGTTGGTTTTGAACCTCTAAGGCCATTATATATAGGAAAAATCAAGGGAGAGAGAAGGGTTAAAGCATAATTTAATTATAGGGAGAGAGGAGTGTTTAGAAGAGTATAGACTATTGAAGGTTTTTTAAGAAGAAAAATATTCACTCTTCTTATTTTTCAAGAGAGACAATTACAAGATAAATAGTAGAGGAAGGCCACCAAATCAGGAAGCCCACAAAATCAGCAAATCAAATCAGCAAAACTCTAGGCTAGAAAACAGGAAACAGAAACTACTAAAATCTGAAATATTAGTTTCAGATTTTATTTTCAAAAATTGAATTTCCTAATTTATTTCCTAGAAATCTGACACCCCCCCTCAAGTTGGAGCGTAGATATCTATCATGCCCAACTTGCTTATAAAGAGCTCAAAACTAGGTCTGAAAAGTCCTTTGGTGAAGATATCAGCTATTTGTTGAGTAGTAGGAACAAAA